TGCCAGGAGACCTAGATGCATGATCTTGTAGGAGACCTGGAGTGAACTCTTGTGGATAGTATAATTCTCTATGTTAAGATGCCATTTGTAACAGACACTTCTTGATGAAGATGATGTTGTGATCTTGCGCCTACCATCAAAGTGAAGCAATACTTTTCGTAAGTAGTACCGCAAGATTTGTCGAGAATTTCCTGAAATAATATAACTGTATTATTTAAAACATCTTTGAATTCTCTGAAATGTTTCATGAAGATTTCAAGAACGTTGGGTTTCATCTTTTTATCAAACAAAAAACCGCAGATAGGACTAGGTTGGCCGCAGGGAACTGGTTTAGTGGCTGCCCGAAATAGGTTATAAGATGTTTCTTTACATAATGGAACCTCTATCTGAGATTCGACTACGGCATCGTTTACACAAACTGTGGTCACCAGTCGTCAGTATTTTGTGTAACTCACATTTGCCATTTTTCTTGTTTAGTTTAAAAATTGTTTTCAAAAATATTTTTTTTTCTAAGTTTCTTTTTATTTTTTTCCCGAAAATTAGACATAATATTCCATTGGTAAGTTGGCTTCGGAGAAAATGATGTACTAAGCACAGTTGAACAAATATTATTCGAATAACTAAGAAATAAAAATTTTTAAGTAATTATACATAGCTTTTGAAAATGTTACTGATTTTGAGATTAGCGAATTCGAAAATCGGAAGAGGAGTTTATGAAAAGGACTATCGATTTTTATGTTTCACTATCTAGTATCGATTTAGTTCTACTAATTTATCCGGATCCTATGAAATCCGAAATGTTATAATAAATCAGTGCGCGATGGCAAAATATAAAAAATCAGCATCTACATTCTAAGAAACTCCTCTGATAACAATATAATCAACATCCATATTGAAGTAATCCGTTAAGTTGAAATATGTCGCGCACTATCGAAATATTTTAACATATCGTAATTATGAGTTCACGGATGAGGCAGCGAAATAAGCGCTTATCTTTTAGACCGGGGCACTACCATTCTAACGTCGCAAGATATAAGACCCCCCCCCCCAAAAAAAAAAAAAATAAAACAATTCATATCTCTGGCGATCTAATTTACTTGGTGGAGTCTAGTGCGTCCACCAAGTAAATTAAAAAACAATAAAACCGTGGTCAAAATCAAATCTCCATATCCACAAAGAAGAGATTGTCTTAACTGATAATAGGCCATACCAATCTAACAAATTCACATATTCTTAACAAACATTCTGTTATTGAAAATTGTTTTAAAAGAAAAATGCTCCAAAAGTTCAATTTTTTTTTCGGGTGAACTCAAAGTTGTTCTTAAGCTTCTGGTAGGATCATCAGCTTGCTAGAAGGACTAAAAAAACCTCTATACTCATCAAGATACTAACAGGACTTTCTAAGTTACTTTATTTCCAAGACATTTTCCCATATAGATGTTCCTACATAATTAAAATTCCTCTACTTTTTAAATCGCTATCCTTTGTATCCAGTCCAAGTTGTCCCTTCTTCCTCCTCGTCCCTCTTGCACCTCTTATCAAGATCTTATCTTGTAGACCATTATACTCAGAAGGCGACAGAACCTCCGCATTCCGCCCTAATCAGACCCTTTGGCCAACGGGAATAATCTGCTCAGTTCATTGCCGTTAATGGCCCCATTGTCATTATCATTATTGCCAACGACAAGGTCGTCTGATTTCCTACTGTCACAATTGAACGGTTCTAAATTTAAACTTGACAACTAATAATTTTGGTAAGAGTAAAAAAAAAAAAATCAAAATTTAATCTGTTTTTTGCATCTGTCTAAGTGAAATCTTCTTTAGGTGGGTTTTGTACTTCTTTTATTTCGTTGGAAGTGAATGAATCTGAGCTGTCAGACTTGGATGTGTAACGCTCATTCGGGTAAAGTCGGCTATAGTCGACTAATTGAAGTATTTTTGCATATGGATTAAAATGTATCAGAAACTAAAAATCGGACCTGCATACTGTTGAAAGAGAAATGTTCAGCATTTCATTCTCTCTGTAATGAGCTATTAATCAAAATTATATTTTGAAGTGACGCCTTGTCAGAGATTGGAAAAGAAAAAGCGCCACAAATTGAAATAATAAATATCAATAGAGTTTTCACAGATTATTGACCTCCATTACAGAAATTATATTTAAGAAATGACGGTGTTTTAGGTTGATATTTGGCAAATATATTTCAATCAAAATTATTCATCACAGAGAGAAGGAAAAAAGAGAGAGCTCGAACAGCTTTTTGGTGAGTCTGGTATTTTGGCATTCATCAAAGAAAGAAGGTTGCGATGGCTAGGCTAAAACAAACTAAGAAGACATTTTGTAAAGATTATATTATACTATAGTACAAACCAATATTCTAGAATCACCGAAAATTCTATCCAAGTCCAAATATTCTTTGGAACTACGAAGACTAGAAGTTGTAGCCATAAGGAAGTAACTGTCCAGGACTTGACAGGATCAGATAAGAAAATATCGCGTCATCTTACAGGGTCACTCTGGGAAAGGTAGATTTGAATTAGATGCAGATAGGAGGAGATGCAACAATAGTCTGTCCATCATTGAGAGGACAACTGTCTACAAAATGAGCGAAAACCTTAGGCACCTGGACCATATCTTCGTTTTTTTCGATACAGATTAATATTGCATATTAACTTAATTCTTTAAGTTAATTTTCAGGCATGTTATTTTTCTTTAAGACATAATACCAACATATTTCGTTGTATAAAAACCCTGTCTTTACTCGTTACAAATATCTAGTGATGCCCAAAATCGGTCTTGTCCATGCACTTTGCAAAAAAAAAAAAAAAATCGTTTTTGTGATTATTTTAATTAGTAGATGTAAAGATTTGGTATAACCAATATACTTTTGTAATTAACTCTTCCATTTTTCAGTTTTGTTTAGTCTCAGGTTTCTCCTACCTGAATAATTAATAATAATAATAATAATACTTTATTTATTCTGGGACGAGTCCCTTTAGAATAATACATAAGGACAGTAATGCAGGCTAAGGAGCCTCAGAGATACATAAAAAGAAATGTTGAGTAATAAAATAGTCATATTGAAAATTATATGCTACCTTCTAACTTAAATAAGTTAAAATTAAAAATAGAAAATAAAGTAAAAATAATGAAGAACGATCTAATAATTTATATACAAGGATGGATAAGAAATGATTGAACAGGCGGGATTTGAAGGTAGGAAGGGTATTAGATTGACGGATGTGGAAGGGATGGAGTTCCATAACGAAGAGGATCGAATAATGAACGATTTATCGAAAGCAGCAGTTCGGTGGGCCCTTATGTATAAATCAGAAGACCTGGAACGAGTATTGAGAGAGTGAAGAGAGGCTTTGAATTGAAGGAGCTCGGAGATGTATTGGATGACTTAAAAGAAGAAGGATGCCAGGGAATACTTACGACGGTAGGAAGGGTAAATCCACTTCAACTCTACATAAAAACGAGAAACAGAGGCGTTCCTTGGGATCCCGAAGATGAATCGTACAAAGCAATTTATCAAACGTTTTAGTTTCGCCTCGAGATTCCCAGAGACGCCCCCATACACCGTACAGCAATAGTCAAAGTGGGGAAAAATTAAGGAAGTGACCAGGAGTCTACGGGTGTTTAGAAGAAATGAGTGACGGAAGTGGTTTAGGCGTTTTAAGGTGGAAATGGTCCGGCGGGAGATGTTGGATACATGGTTTTTCCAGGAAAGCGTTTGATCGAAGGTTATCCCAAGGTTTTTGATAGAGGGACAAAATTTTAATGGGATTATCCTGTAGGAAAAGAGTTGGAATATGTGGAATTACAGCAATATCTCTATAGTAATATTTATTATTTATTTATTTATGCCTCCCTTCCTTGCCTTTCGGCTATACGGGATTTCGCAGGGATGGCATATCACACACGTTGCATGCCATTCCTGATATTAAACCACAAATTAATTGTCAATTTTGTTTTGTTTTGTTTTTTCAAATATCTTATTTTTTCTTCTTTTATCACCAGACCAGAGCAGCTTTCCACCCGTACACAAAATCTTTGAAATACGGGTTGTTCTGCTCCACCACTAACTCGGGAAATTCATTCTCCGTGAGGCCATAGACTCCAATTTTTCTTATCATTTCGGCCCTTTGTCCATCAAAGGCGGTGCAGTTGACGATAACATGCTCAGCCGTCTCCGGTACTCCGCAAGTGGGGCATAGGGGATCTATGTCTTTTCCGAAACTATGTAACTTAGAGCGGAAACCCCCATGCCCTGTAAGGAATTGAGAGACCCAGTAGTCCGGGAGAACTCACTTAGTTTTCAAGCGACTTCGGACGGTGGGGAAATATTTTTGTAAAACCCGCCGCCGATTCCACTCATTTATTGTATCCTCCCGGATAATCCTCTTCCATTTTCTTGGGTCTTCTGCAATCCTCACCTGGATATTCTCCAGAAGACCTGCTGAGCCTTCTATTTTTAACTTAAATATCATCGACCTTCTCGCAGGAGAAGGTCGAGAGGTACCCCTCCTGCTAAAATCTGCACCGCCTCGTGAGACACACTTCGCTATGATTTTGTGACTCGCAACAGAGCGGTACGTTGAATTGTCGCCAATCTGCGTTTCTGGCGGTGTGAGAGATTCTGAGAGGCGTACCTCGTACCTCAGAATACCCACTATCATTCCATCGTAAATGATCCTCGTAGCTGGGTATCTCTGTAGTGATAGGCTAATAGGTAAATGTCAGAACGTTGCTAGACTCTTGCGCAAGACGAAGACCAAGACTTATTTGGGCAACACTAAAAATATCCCCAAAACTTTAGGACATAAAACTACAAGTAAATTTTAATATATAATTTGTAAATAAACCAAAACTCATTTTTCTTTAGAAAGGCCCTATCGACTACAAAACATAGATATCTTATTCCATGATTGGCATGGCGGTGAAGGATTTAATCTGGGAAATAGATTAGAAGAAGTGAGTCATAGAGGCAGGTGCATTAAGTGAGAGGTGGGCTTGAAGTCAACCATCCTGCGGTCGACTGGCAGGCATGAAGGATGTTGCTGAACGTTGAAGGCTCAACAACGGTGGCTATTAGGGATTTGGCAACATCAACATCAACATCAACATCCACCGGCCGCCAACCACTCGTGACGGCCACATTAGTCAGCTTCGTGTTCACCCTCGCACGCGTGTCGCAACCTAATATAACGCCCCCTTATAAACATACTTATGATATTAGGTAGGATTTCGCTATACCACTATAACTTACCACATCGCTTGCTCAGCTGTCAAAGTCGTATCTAATTCTAGTCTTTATTAAAAAAAAAATTAATATAGATAGATAGATAGATAGAAAAAAAACTTTATTCTGGGACGAAGTCCCTTTAAAATAACAAAATTGTACAAAAGAATAGAATACTACTGGCCTAATAGTTTGAAACAATAAATGAAATTGGTAAAATAAAATAAAAAGTAAAGAAAACCTTAGGTGAGCAAGCTATATACAATACAGAAAAAACTATGAACAAATCGCTTAAAACTATGAACAAAACTATTATATAATGGTTGAACAACATAACCATACACTTTGAGATGAATTTTCAATGAGCAAGCGTACGAGGTTTGAAGTACGAAGATTGGCCACAGAGCGCACGGTAACACTGGTTATGAAACCGATCATATATTACAAAATACAAATTTCTATTTAGTATGAAATTTCCTGAAGAAGAACTGCCGGTATAGAAGAAAGGAAGAAGATACAAGAAGTTGCGCAATAAGTTGACCTATACTGGAACAGTTCTTCCTCAATGGAGACCCGCTCCATCGCATTCTTAATACCTTCTTGTTTACTGTCCGGGCTAACAAGGCGGGGGTCTTCATGTTTATCTTCCACTCATCTGACCTTTCCGTATCTTCTTATAGTGGATTTGATTTAAGCTCTGTCCTCTTTAATAAAATTCTCCTGCAAACATCGTTTGGTTTTTAAATTGAAAAAAAAATATATATAAAAATGTAAATAGATAAAAATTGATGTTTATAGCAGTATAAATATCTTGATTTCCAAACTAGTTATCGGAAGATGTTATGCAGCATTTATGTCAACACCGCTGCAATAAAATATTTCAAGTTATTTAACGGAATCGAATATCGTGAGTGTAATCTTTGACTAGCATGAAAACTATTAGTGGTTTTTAAAGATGAAAAACGATTAAAATATAAGCGCTAACATAACTTTCAGAAGGAATATCATATTAAGGATGTACAATGCTATGATAAAGCCATTTCAATATATTGCAGTGAGATCTATACTAACCAGCACCATAGAAAATAATATTGACAGATATGGGAGAAAAATCTTCCGTACGATAACCGGAGTAATCTGGGATCAGAGTACTAAAACATAACGAAGGAAGACTAAAAAAGAGCTGCTTACAGAAACAGGGCAATCAATATCTCATGATATGAAGGCGAGGAGGTTAAGATGGGAAAGGCATGTAGCTCGGAACAATCTATTTGGAAGTCTGGAACACGTTATTACCTCTACGATCTAAAGTATCAAAACATGGTTTTGATGTTGGTAATGTCCGATCGTTACAGAAAGAGAAGTTAAGTAGTTCTATGAGAAATATATTAGAGGCTTTGCAGATTGCGCAAAAGTTAGATAATGCTGTTAATTATTATGGACTGACAATAGAAATTCGAATAACTTTTATTCTGAAGCGTTGAGCATCTTGGTAAAGTCTAATAATCCGTCTAATTTGCTATTGGTTTTGATGAAACCTTGCTTTGATGTCCATTTATATATATATATATATATATATATATATATATATATATATATATATATATAATATATATATATATATATATATATATATATATATATATATATATACTTTATTTATTCTGGGACGAGTTCCTTTAGAATAATACAGAAAGACATAAATGTGGTATAAGAAGCCTTAGAGATATAAAAAAAAAAAAAAATACAGAATAATTAAATAGTCATAATAAAAGAATAAAAAAATTATAAGTTACTTTTTAATTTTGATAAGTTAATAATATTAAAGAAACATGAAGTAAAAATAAAAATAAGAACGATCTAATAATTTATATATATATATATATTTACAGATCTATTTAAAATTATTGAACAGGCGGGATTTAAAGGAAGGAAGGATATTGGATTGACGGATGTGCGAAGGGATGGAGTTCCATATGGATGAGGATCGGATAATGAACGATATGTCGAAAGCGGAGGTTTGGTGGGTTCTTGTGTATAGATCTGAAGACCAGGAACGAGTATTGCGGGAGAGAACAAGGGATTTGAATTGAAGGAGCTCGTATAAAGGACGATATATATATATATGTTTAATTTTTCTCGTGTTTTCTCATGATAATATTTTTTTCAATTTCAACTTTTTTATTTATATGAACGTATTTTTAAAATTTATATGACCATCTCAAGATGTTTTAAATTAAATCCAAAACAGAAACTGAACAAATATATTTATTTTATACCCGTTTGGACCTACGCTTCATAGGTATACAGGAACACCTAAACGACCCTGATACAAAAAAATACAAACTTTTCAATAAAAACCATTCAGAACTATAAATAAAGTTCTATGGTACGTCTCAAATATTACTTTGCACAAAGACACACATGCCAAAAGTTAACGACACACACGTATAAAGTAAAAAAGATTTTACGATAATCTACACGGACATCTTAACACTCACATACAAGATATGGTGGTAATTAACATACCTGATAACAGATTTCTGTGGTTCAAAAGAAGCTGGATGGAATCTTCTTTCCTAAAAGTCCATATTAAAATCATGATAGGTAGGGATGACGCTGGGTACTCCACTCTCTCACGCAGATCAACGCTAATAAGCTAATAATCATAGCCTTTCCAAAAAAAAAAAAAAAAAAAAAAAAAAAAATCACTCACTCAATATTTTGAACAGTTGTGAGTTCAGAAATAATGAAATTATATATATATATATATATACCGGAAAAGAGAAAGAGAGAGTAGAGATTCTTTTAGTATGGAATATTTTATAAGCAAAGATTTATTGAGATGTTTTACATTTTTCTGTAATAAATCACCTCTCACATCCATACCATTTTTATGTACACCTTAAGTCAAAATATTTTTTTAACATAATAATATTTTAATGATTACATTAATAAACATACAGTGATTGTACGAAAACCAACAGGATTGCCGTTTCTCAATCTCTCAAGAATGCAGCAAACCTATTACGTCTATACCAACTTATATGTATTTCATTTCTTACATTTTATCATAATGGTATCCAGCGAGTAATTTTTATACCGTGTAAAAACGTTTTTAAAACACATCTTCCACATTTCACCACCTAGTATGTATTCGCTAAACATACTTCGATTCAATCTTGAATGCTCGCCGCGTATTCGAAGATCCTTAGCTCTTTCTAATTGCAGGTAATTTTCGCCCGGAAGATGCTGGTGTTGTCACAAGAAGCAGAGCAATCAGAAACATATCTGTCCTTAAGAAATCAGCTGACGATCTTCTTATTAAGTTCAGAAAAATTCGATGAGGTTACCTAACCCGTTAGGTAAGAATTGGTGCAGTCGGCGAAACGAGGTTTACGACACATACGCCTGATCGCCGATAAGATTGTACGCTTCTGGAACAAACGCGTTTTTAGAAGCTCTGTGGTGGGTATCTAGATGCTACGCCATCTTGAAAGGTCACTGCCTGATTAATCGAGTAAGTATCCTGGATGTCTCAGGATGTACTAGTTGACGTACAACTGTTAACAAGGGGATGTTACGGATATAAGGACACCGATTTCAATATAATTTTCTTGGTGATACTAGGTTGGAAAAATTTAGACCTGTATCCTAGTTTCCGTACAGACTTATTGTTAACGCCGCATAGACAAATATCATTAATTTTTTCATTATTATTTTTTTCTCACCATTAACCCTTTTTGAATGTTCTCACCAGCCCGGCACTAATACTAAAGGAGCTACCTTTTGTATGGAGCAGAAGTCTACCCCCACCATTTTCATCAAGTTCCAGACTCATCTAGTCTCATTTTCACCTCACCTGCGCCATTTTGAAGGTCCCAGCTGTATCATCGCGAGTCATCGATCAGCACATCGATATGCATATCGATCTCCCCACCATCGACTGCTGTGACAGCTGAACTAACCTCTTTGGAAATATAGCCTCCAATTTGGGATATTTTCGTTCACATTCTCTCACCGTTACCACAGACATTTTTTTTCTCTTGGTTTGCCATAATTTTAGAAGTGGATTTTTTTTATATTTTGCTATTAATGGTTATTTTGGTTTTATTTTCTCTGCATATTATGTTTATGTTTTATTTTTCTCGCAACTTTACACCAATATTTATTTTTAACTATTGTATATATTTTTTTATCTCAATAAATTTGTAAACGTTCAAAAGTGGAATTTTCATTTTTATTTTTACTTATTGAAATATTTTTATTTTAATATTTTTCGTGTGCATGCCTTTGTCTTTTTTCTTTAATGTTTTACAGGCCTCATTTTTATTCACTCTTTTTTTCCCTTCTTTTCGAACGTTTTTAATTTTGCTCGAATTTTTCCCACCATTGAGGAAACGCACCGGGGAAAGATCTGTACTTCGATTTTGAAGTACCCCTGGCCCCAACACTTATTTTTGGTCAAATTATAACATCCGCCTAAAACGTGAATGGCTTAATGTTACCGTACCCTTTTTCTTATTAAATTAATTAATTTGACATGGTTTGAAAAACGAATGAATATCCAATTGCTTTCTACTCAAATCGTAAGATAATTTTGTCACAAAATCTAGAAAAAAAGCTGTACAAAAATATTGGGACATTTGGTTTAAATTTCATCGATCTGTTGGGGAGTGAAGGTCATGGCAAACCGACTAATATTTTTATAGGTCACCTTTTTTTTTTTTTATTTAGTGATTAAATCATCTTACATTTCAAGTGGAAAGCAAATCGCTGTTTATGAGTTGTTAGTGCCTAATTAAATAGACAAAGTTGACTAATCTTCAGATTGGGAAAGCCCTTTTCCGAGAATATTTGTAAATAAAAAATTTGTAGTTTGCGAAAAGACAAAATATATAAGTAAATAATTTGATAAAATGGGTATTGTTTATATCGTATCGTGGACTATCAAAAGCTGAGAAATTTTGGAATCAAATTTTGACATTTGCTTATATTATTGTTTTTTCCCTTTGCTGTGTATGAATTTCTATTTTATCGATCAATTTATATTAATATTTTTTTTTTGTTTTTTTTTTACATTATACATTTTTTTTTTTAACATAAGACCTTATGTTCCTTATATTTTCGAATTGGCCCAATTCAGATAACTATCGTTCCATAATAAATTTCAGAACCATTCGAACTCTCTAGTTTTTAACCTTACTTCCTCTATAACCCTCCGAGGCTTCTGAAAAGAAGATGGCCTCGAGATCTCCAATTGTAAATACATTTTTTTATAGAGTGCTACCACTGGGTAGTTTCTCGACTAATGTTTTCATGTTTTTATTTTCTGTTATCACATTTACTGAATGTATTTGTTCTTAATACAGTTTTAAATATCATAAATAAAAAGAACTAAAAATTGGACTTGCATATTGTAAGCAAGGTAAATGTTCATCATTTCATCCTCCTTGTAATGGGGTATTATTAAAAATTGTATCTTAACGGAACGCTGTGTTAGAGAGGCTAAAAGGAAAGAAATAGTGACGAAACGAGTTCTATTTTATAGAAGATATGGATTAAAATATCTCACACACAAAAAATCGTACCTGGATACTGTAAGCGATGGAAATGTTTAGCATTTCAACCTCTTTATAATGAGCTATTATTTATAATTTATAGTTTCTATTATTAATCTCGCCTTGTTGATATTTTCTCTTTTATCGTGTTGTTTCTAAATCATAAGTCTTAGTATTTTTTAAAAAATTAAATAACTTCAAGTCAACTCATGTTAGCTTCTCCCTGAGAAAGACCTCCTGTTCTGATGTAACAATAGACAATAAACCATTTCCCTCAAAAACTCATGTACGGTATTTCGGACTATACATGGACAAGAAACTCACCTGGAACATTCACACTAAACTAAAAAAAAAACAAGAACTGACCAGACGATACAAAAAAATGCCCCTTTTTTTGGACTACAGATCTCCACTCTACTTACTAAATAAGCCACTAATCTACACCAGTATACTAAGACATATTTGGACATACGGAGCAGAACTTTGGGGTTCCGCAAAACACACACGCATAAATAAAATTCAAACCACCCAATCCAAAATAATTCGTAAAATCGTCTCGTAAAAGAAGCTTGGTTTATTTCAAATCACACCATACACACAAACATGAACATACCAAAAGTAAAATCCTACATACACAACATTTCATACTTCTATTCTTAATGATCCGAATCACTCGTTCTATCTCTATCTTCCTCTCTGATACCTGGTGAGCCTCAACGACGACTAAAAAATAATACAAGAAGACAGAATAAACGCATTTGCTTGACGCGTTACAACGCAGTGCCAAATTTAATGGAAAATGAAATAAATAAAAAACTTTTTTAAACTTTAATAATTGAGAAATTAATTCAAAATATAGTCATACTCGTTCAGTTAAGACCAGAAGGCGAGCTTTCGTTTAAGACAAGACATTTCTACCAGTGTCTTATGAATTATTCAACAGCCATCCAAAATTCTATCCTGTTTTATATGCAAATCTAAAGGTCTTTCTTCATATTCATATCTTTCAATGCTCCTTCAACCGCTGGAGCAATGACAAATCACTCTGGTCTCATGCTTTATTCTTGTCCTCATACTCGGCTACAAGTATTTATTTAGTCAGGATTAATTATGAAATACATAATTTACAATCAAGAACTAGGGGGTCTAAGAGGGAAGCCTGCTATTCGGATTCTCACAAAGTTTGTTATTTTGACTTCGGGAGTCTTGAAATAAAATTCTACAGTTTGGTAAGACACAAGAGTAAATGTTTGTTTCTTGTGATAGCGAAGAAATGGAAGTTGTGTCGGAATACTCATACCTAGTGCTATGTTCCTGGCCTCGCGTTTCTACGGCGAGTAGGGGGTTCCAGGAATCGCAATTATTTGTATTTATATGTATTTATATCGGTCCCAGAAGGGAACCGATCAACTTAAAATATATTAATGATGTATTTAAATGTTAGATACCACAGACCCCCTACTGTAGTATCCTAGATTGAACCATATACTCTTTATTGGATTTCCTTTCTAAAGGTATCATGTTTATAAATTTACTATTTGTTTCTATTACTAATTGGTGGCATGCAAGGTAGATGGTAAAAGTACTACGTTGGTTTGCTAACTAATATATTTACAAATTTAAATAAAACCAAAAACATCTATATACAAAATAATAACTCAACCTATATACATAATGAATAGTTGAGAATCATACTAGAGGAAAATGCTTGATTAGAGTTACTTATGTTCTATTGATTTTATTAATTAATGATTGATGGTTGCCAACACAAATTTACATTAGTATAACTAAATGCTTGTTACCACTTAGCTGGTCCTTCATAGTGTTTCTGGGTGTTTCTAGCCGTCATATCTGGATTCCCTGTCTCTGCTCTCCTTCAGCGGCTAGTCCGTCCATCTGCTCTCTTCGCTTGTCTTCTGATCCAGTCTCAGCCTGTGTCCCAGCTCTCCTCCGCCGAGTCCCAAGAGGAAGTCCTCTCCTCTCAGTCCCAAAAGGAAGTCCCCTCCTCTCCGAGTCCCAAGAAGAAGTGTCCTCAGCGGCGTTCCAAGAAGAAGTCCTCCCTCTTCTGAGTTCCAAAAAGAAGTGTTCCGTCCCAATTCTCTATTTCCCACCTTTTTTCATCCCCCTCTCTTTTGGTAGTCTTTTTCCTGATTGGCTGAATATTCTCAGCCTAAGGGATGACCACGCCCTCTCCCCCAGGCCAAGGTAAAGCAGCAGGTACAGACTTAGGTATTTCTGGTGGAAGGTGTGAAAAGGTCTTTCGGGATCCTTTTTAAACACTTAGTTGTCGGTCTTTGTCGGTGGTCCTTAAATGTTTTTATTACCACTTACAAAAGGTTGGGCTTGTTGACCTCAGTCAGGTACCGCCAGATGTGAACACTTATGATGTTTATTTATACATTTAAAATAATTATCCCACCGGCGGTCTTTACAATACATAGCAGTAGGAACTGTAAGGCAAAGTTCGGGAAAATCGGACAGTAATGATTTGAAAATTTTACAGTAATGACTCATAACAACATAACGCATGAAAATGCATCAAAGATTTATTTATTGATTTTTTTTTGTTTATATATTTCTTATAAAGACATAAACAAATGTGTGAATTTATGAATGAATAACGCTTCAAATTATAATTCAGTAGAAATGGATATAGTAGTCGACTGACCAATTATAAGGATGAAACAAAATTTTCAGAGATTTCAGTCAAGATATTTTAATTGGGTTAGTCGATGTTTCGACCCAAACATGATGGTCGAAACGTCGGCTAACCCAATAAATGTATCTTGACTTAAATTCCCGACAATTTTGTTTAATCCTTATTATACAGCGGTTTTTCATTTCTA